GAGTATTTAACGAAAGTAATTAATATTCCTTAAATCCTTCGCTGGCGCACCCGATTTTTTGTTTTGTTTTGTTTACATCGCTTTGACAACAAGAAAAACAAAGAACGGAAAGCTGTCCAGGTCCCACAGAGGTTTGAATGCGAGACGATAGATGGCGCTGACGTATTAATCGTATTGTTTATTCGTAAATAGTTTAAGCTCGTCAAGTCTACCCATCTTTAAGAAGTCATTTAGAGCGTATATCCATATTTTCCATTTTTTAAAAAGACAAAAAAGGGAAAAAAAAGATTAAAACAGAAATGATAGGATATAAAATGGTGTAAAATTGTACAATTGTGATCATAGGAAACTCTTAAAGACCAATATGAATTTTGATGTACTGATTTTCATAAACTTTTAAGCGCAAGACTTCAAATATTAAACACTTGACACTTGCTAGAAATTGATATATTGGCAAAAACATAAATTTTTATAGAAACAGACGTTTTGCAAATGCACAAAATGGTTTGAAGTCGACACGTTGACAATTATGCAAAATTATCGGAAAATCACGCGATTGCAAGGAATTTTAGTTATGAATTGTTCCAACAGATGGCGTCACCAACCGTGCTTTCTTTCTTTAAGTATAACTCTAACATTCGTATAAACTATGCCAATGCCTCCCTTTTCATCAACACTTCCTCTTCTCGCCTAAAAACTGTTTATGTATTTCCTCGTTTTTTAATTAATTTAATTAAAATTAATCATCTCATTAGTTTTTTTTTGTTTTTTTTTTTGTTTTTTTGTACTTTATTGTCTTTCCTTTGTCCCTATTCTTTGAAGGTTTTGCAGGGAGAGCGAGACTCTTAAGTGAATTTGCAGTCCTAACCTCCCCCCACCCCCCCCCCCCCACCCCTCCCCCCTCCCTCTCTCTCTGACACGTGGATTTCCCTGCAGTGACGTCATAGACTCATTGGCTAACCTCCCTTGACATCAATCCTGGGCCGTGGTGTTGCATACGCGGCTATGCAATCATGGAATCAGAGGAGGAAACGTCAAATGCAATGGCAGCTTGTGTTGTGCATCTGTCTCCTTAGCTTGCAACGTCAATGGGGGTTTTAATTGCATCCTGACATCGGACTACGGGACTTCAGGAGGACGCCAGGACATGTCGGAATCCTCGCTGTCTGAGATGTCACGGATATCAACCGAGGAAAATTCATTCTGTTTCTGACAAAAGAACAAGGGTCTCGTCTGCTACAAAAAACCTCAAATAACAAAGAAAAACAAACAAACAAAAGAACAAGGGTCCCGTCTGCTACAAAAACCTCAAATAACACACACAAAAAAAGAAAAAGAAAAAGAAAAAAGAAAAAAAAGGTCTCCTATACCTATTCGTCATTTCTAAACACCACACGTGAGAGAGAGGCTACAGTGTCCATCTTACAGCTTAGTAAGTACAAAATCCCAGGATAGGAATATACTGTACCGTGCAGCAGGAACGACGAAGGGAAGGGCAAGAAAACACACGAATATGCCGAAGCCCTTTTCACTATTGCTTCGTCAGGGCATGAAGCAATAGTGAAAAGGCCTGACGAAGCAATAGTGAAAAGGCCTGACAAAGCAATAGTGAAAAGGCCTGACGAAGCAATAGTGAAAAGGCCTTCGGCATATTCGTGTGTTTTCTTGCCCTTCCCTTCGTCGTTCCTGCTGCAATCTGTTCAACGTGAATTCCACATACTGTACCGTACACCCACGCCGCGACACTGAACTAGGAGCCGTCAGGAAACCCTCGTTAGATCCACCTACAGTTTAATTACCATTCACCACGCCCACAAAGACACACGCCACGCCTACTGTCCTGGAAACCATACCTGCCACATCTCCAAACAGATATTGCCAACGCATCGGAAAACATTTCCAGACAACAACAACAACAACAACAAAAGAGGAAAAAAAAAGCAAGTTGATAATTTAGTTATTTTATGGAAAATCAAATATAAATAAGATTCAATTGTACAGATAGTGACGTCATGAAAAAAGGGAGAGAATTAAACAAAAAAAAAAAAGAAAAAAAAAAGAAGAAAAAGAAAGAAAATTGAGAATTTGCTTGAAAGGCCACAAAGCAACTTTCAAGATGAACAAAGACCAACCAACTAGTTGCAAGAATTGAAAAGGAGAAGCAGCCAATCCAGTGGCAGACGTAAGATCAGTCAAGATCCGCGTCCTCTGATATATTGCAACGATTGCAGGATATCTGACCATAAAGATGAGTCCAGAGACCAAGACACGTGGGATCTCCTATCAAAAAAGACACGCACACACACACACACACACACACACACACACACACACACACACACACACACACACACACACACACACACACCACACACACACACACACACACACACACACACACATACACACACATATATATATGGGAGAGGGGAGAGGGAGTGGGGAGTGAGAGGGAGGGGGAGGATAGAAGAGGAGGTAAGGAGAGGGAAAGAGAAAAGGAAGAGGGGGGGAGGGAGAGGGAGAGGGAGAGAGAGAGAAAGAGAGGAAAGAGAAAGAGAAAAGAAAGAGAAAGAGAAAGAGAAAGAGAGAGAGAGAGAGAGAGAGAGAGAGAGAGAGAGAGAGAGAGAGAGAGAGAGAGAGAAGAAGAAAGAGAAAGAGAAAGAAAGAAAGAGAGAGAGAGATTAAGAGAAGAAGAGAAAGAAAGAGAAGAAAGAAAGAGAAAAGAGAGAGAGAGAAAAAAAAAAGCAAGAAAAGAGAGAGAGAGACACACACACTTTCTGAAAACACAGTGACAGGACAAAACAACAACACACCCAGTCATTCAATCTCTTTATTATCGTTATAAAATTACGCTGGAACAAAAAACAAACAAACAAACAAACAAACAAAACAACAAACAAAAAGATTCAAGCTCCAGTATCTTATATAATCTCTCCACTTAGAAAAGCTAAAAAATAAAATGAAAATAGAATACTTAGATAGATAGATGAATAGATATATAAAAATTAGTCTCCTACCTACCGAATATGATCTGAATGAAAAGAAAAGAAAAGTCAATAAAAAACATGAACTTGGATAAATTAATCATCACCTTAGAGCAAATAATAAAAAAAATGAAAAAAAAAAAAAAAAAAACATTAACAGAGTTTTGAAGAGGTGTACATAACAACAGAGATAGATAGATAGAGATAGATAGAGATAGATACCACTTCCCCCCCTTCCCCTTCCCCACTCCCCACTCTCCCTCCCCCTCACCACTCACCCCTACCCCTTCCCCCTTCACCACTCCTCCCCTCTCCTTCCCCATCCCTCCCTTCCCTCTTCCCCACTCCTCCCTCCCCCTTCCCCCCTCACCCCTACCACTTCCCCTCCCCACCTTCCTCCCCTTCCCTCCCCACTTCCCCCCTTCCCCTCCCCACTCCCTCCCCCCTCCCCCCTTCCCACTCCTTCCTCCCCTCTTCCCTCCCCCTCCCTTCCCCCCTTCCCCTTCCCCCTTCCCCCTCCCGCTCCCCCCTTCCCCTTCCCCACTCTCCCTCCCTTCCCTTCCCCACTCCTCCCTCTCCCTCTCCCTTCCCCTTCCCACTCACCTGGCAACGACCCTTCCCGGGCAGTCCTCCTCCCCCTTCCCCTCCCCCTCTCCCTTCCCCTTCCCCACTCACTTCCCCAAGCCCCTTCCCCCTTCCCCAGGACCCCTTCCTGGGCAGCCCCTCCTCCCCCAGGACCCTCGCCCTGGGCTCTGGGGTCCTCGCCTGCCTCGTGGGGGGCGTGGGGGCGGCCCTGTCCGGGAGGAGGGAAGCGGATGGTTCCCCTGGTTCGGTCATGGCGGGTGGTCTGTCTCCTGGTTCGGACATGGCGGGTTTGTGGTCGGTAGGAGGAGGTGGTCGTTGGGTGAAGGTTTTTTTTTTGGCTCGTTTGTTTTTGGTTTGGTTGTTTGTTTTCGTTGTTTGGTTTGTTTTTGGTTTTTGGCTTGGTTGTTTGTTTTCGTTGTTTTGGGTTTGGTTTCTTGGGTTTTGTTTTCTGGTTTCTTTTGGTTCCTTTTTCGTTTATTTGTTTTTGTTTTTTTTTGTCTTTGTTTTCGTTTCGTTGTGGTTTTGGTTTTTTTACTTGCTCTTTAGGGTTCTTTGGACTTTTTTTCTGTTAATTCTATTCCTTCTCTTTTCTCTCACTTGTTTTTTTTTGTATTGTTTTCTATTTATTTTTTCACTTCACGAGCGTTTGTTCTTATATTTTTTGTTTTTCGTCTTGCTTATGTGATTATTCTTTTGTTTTATTGTCTGTCGGAATTTTCTTCATTCGTTTGCAATTTCTTTTTGTTTTGCTTTACTTCTTATTTTCTATCTATTTCTGAACTTCTCTGATTTTATTATCATCATTTTATCATATCATTCTTTTTCGTTCGTTACGTTTCTATGTCTAAAAATTCTAGTTATCAAATTTCACATTATATTCATATCTTATCTTATCACTTCACAATGACACTTTCAGTAATCCAAAATGTGTTTTATGTTGTTGTTTTTTCATTCAAAGTAATTATTAGTTTTACGTAATGTCGGTTCTACACATATCTGTATTCGCAATGTGTAATATCTATTGTATTCTATTGTATTTCCTCATTCGTTATACAATATCTGACAAAAAGCATTTCCACACTCTCTTTTCTTGTAATTTCACTCCTTCTCCTATTTCGTTTTTGTCATTTAATGAAAGGAAGAAAGAAGAAAAGAGAAAATCAGAAAACTCGTCTGCACTAAAGATCACACCAAAACAAAACCCTCAATAAAGAGAGGAGGAAAGAAAATGGAAAAAAAATTGTTTCTCTTCACTTCTGCTACTTTTCTACGCCCTCGAGACTCAAACGAGAGCGTCGTGGGCGTGATACGGGCGGCTTAGGAAACTGGCTTCTTGCGTCGAAGATCTGGGCGGCTTTAGAGATCTTGTGTGGGCGGCGAGTGGTTTAGAGAACCTCTTTTGTGGGCGTGGGGCGGCTCAGCAGACGGTGGAAACACGGGTGGAGGACAGGGAGACGCAACAGGCTTGGGAGACCCTGGTGGGCGTGGCTGTAGCTCCTGCTCTTGCTCGTGGGCGTGGGCGTCGGTGTGGTCGTGCTGGTGGGCGGCATCTGCAAAGGAGGTGAATAGCGGAGATTAATATGAGCTCGGAGTCTGCTTGGAAACAGTGAGTAATAGGGATTTATTACAACCAGGAGGAAGAGAGGGAGGGAAAGAGAGAGAGAGGGAGAGGGGAGGAAGAAGAGAAAGGAGAGAGGAGGAAGAAGAGAAGGAGTGAGGGAGGAGGGAAGAGAAGAAGAGGGGGAGGAAGAGAGAGGGAGAGAGAGAGAGAGAGAGAGAGAAGAGAGAGAGAGAGAGAGAGAGAGAGAGAGAGAGAGAGAGAGAGAGAGAGAGAGAGAGAGAGAGAGAGAGAGAGAGCTTAACAAAGCACTCAAGACCAATTAAACAACACGACATATTTTTCACATTTGCCGAGAGGACTTTTAACTGAATTACGCTTTGTGCTTTTTAAATGAGAAAAATGCATATAGATAGGTAGATGTATAAGCAGACAGATAGATAAGAATGTCAATCGATCGATGCACACACACACACACACACACACACACACACACACACACACACACACACACACACACACACACACACACACACACACAAACACACACACACACTTTACATTATACATACATTCATATATATATATATATATATATATATATATAATATATATATATATATACATACATATATATATATATATGTATGGTAGATTTCCCGAGACCAGAGCCCGCCGAAAAGCCGCCCGCGCCGCCCCCCGCCCCAAAAGCCGCCCCAAAAAAAAAGCCGCCCCAAAAACCGCCCCAAAAGGCCGCCCCAAACCGCCCCAAAAGGCCGCCCCAAAAGCCGCCCCAAAAAGCCGCCCAAAAAGGCCGCCAAAAGGCAAAAAGCCGCCCCAAAAGCCAGCCACAGAGCGAGCATCCCACGGCCAGCCTCTCCTCAAGCATCTTCCTCTAAATTAGGAGATTAATCTAATGGTTGAGGAGGAGAAGGAAGCAGGCGGAGGATGCGAGGCGTGGGATGACCTCCTGGGTCCCTCTGAGGATGAGAGGGCTGAGGAGGAGGAGGAGGAGGTGGGGGAGGGGAGAGGGCTGAGGAGGAGGAGGAGGAGGGGGGAGGGAGAGGGCTGAGGGAGGAGGAAGGGGGGGAGGGGAGAGGGCTGAGAAGGAAGAGGAGGATGGGGAGGGGGGGACGGGAGGGGGGATCTTGCTGGGGTGGGGGGGGGTGGGGGTGCTTAAAAGGGGAGTCCACTCTAAAGCAGTAATAAAGTATGATGGGGATGGGTTATAGTGTATGTCGTATAAGGGGGTCGCGCAGTGCGGATGTGGTGGGGAATGTAAGCACGTACACGTACATACGCGTACATGCACACATAGATACACGTACACGCACGCACAGACATATGCACACACAGAGAAACACAAATACACACACACACACACACACACACACACACACACACACAACACACACACACACACACACACACACACACACACACACACACACACACAAACACAAACACACAAACACATCCAACCAAACATACATACAACAGGTACCCTCCCCCTCCGCCAACCCCCCCCCCCCCAAAAAAAAAAAATTTAAAGACGAAGAGAAGAAGAAGACGAAAGATGAAGAAGAAGAAAGAAGAAGAAGAAGAAGAAGAAAAGAAAAGAAAAGAAGAAGGAAAAAGAAGAAGAAGAAGATAAAAAAATACAAGAACAACAAAATTTGAGATTTTTAATTTACTCCCCCAAAAGATTTTCCAAACTAACTGAGCTCCTATTGTGGTGCACTATATATGTATCTTTCTCAAGGACGCTTTTCCCTACATTTTTTTTGTGTGTCTTCCAGTCTCATTATGGGACTAATTATGAGACTCAGAACTCTTTAAGCTGTTTCGTAATAAGAAATATGAGAGATGCTTTGTACTTCATTTTTTGTATATAAAGGAATTTTTACATTTCTTATTGTTATTTGTCGTTTTTGTTATTATCACTATCGCCATTATTGTCATTGGCATCATTATCATTATTACTAATATTTTCATTATCATCATTATCATTATCATTATTATTATCACTATCATTATTATTATCACATTATTATAGCATAATCATTGTTATCATCATTATTATTTCTAATTATCATCATAATCATTATTATCATCATTATAATCATTATTTATCATTATAATCATTATCGAATTGCCATTTATCATAATCATGAATATTATTATTATCATTATCATTATTGATATCGTTATCACTGTGATTATTATCAATCGGTATCATTATCATCATCATCATTGTTACTATCATCGTTATTAATATCATCATGATAATTATGATTATCATGTATATTTACATACATCCATTTTCCGTTTCCTTTCTCTTCTCCCCCCCCCTCCCTCTCTCTCTCCATTCTC